ATTCCCAATTTTCTGAGAAACATCGATATTCGTGTACACAGTGGTTGTACAAGTTTGCACTGCCACTAGAAATAGAGGAATGTTCCCCTTAGTCCCCATCCTCCCTAGAATAGGCTGTCACTTGAGTTTTTTGTCTTAGTCATTCGGAAGCATGTAAGGTAGAATCTCAAAGTTGTTTTGATTTGTAACTACTTGGCTAACTATGGATGTTAAACATTTCTTTAAGTGCTTCTTGGCCACTAGAGATTCCTCTGTGTAATTCTGTACCCCATTTTTAATTGGTTATTTGGTTTGTTGGTATTTAATTTCCTGAGGTTTTTTTTTAAAGATATTTTGGATATTAGACCTCTTTCAGATATACAGTTGGTGAAGATTATTTCCCATTCAGTAGGCTGCTGTTTTTTTTTTCTATTGACAGTGTCCTTTGACTTGCAGAGGCTTTTCAGTTTCATGAAGTCACATTTATTAATTGCTTTGCCACACAATGACAGCAGTACTAAGAGGAAAATTCATAGCACTAAGCACCTTCATAAAGAAATTGGAGAGATCTCATACTAACAATTTAAAAGTATACCTGAAAGCTCTAGAACAAAATGAAGTAAAAACACCCAAGAGGAGTAGATGGCAGGAAATACTCAAACTAAGGGCTGAAATCAATAAACTAGAAACAAAGAGAACAATACAAAGAAATCAACAAAATCAAGACCTGGTTCTTTAAGAAAATCAACAAGATAGACAAACCCTTAGCCAAACTAACCAAAAGAGAGGAACATTATGCAAATTAACAAAATCAGAAATGAAAAGGGGGACATAACAAGAGACACTGAGAAAATCCAAAGAATCATGATGTCTTACTTCAAAAGCCCATACTCCATAAAATTGAAAAATCTAAATGAAATGGGTAATTTTCTTGATAGATATCACATACTAGTATTAAATCAAGATTATATTAACAATTTAAATAGACCTATAACCCCTAAGTAAATAGAAACGGTCATTAAAAGTCACTCAACCAAAAAAGGCCCAAGGCCAGGTAATTTTAGTGAGGAATTCTACCAGACTTTCAAAGAAGAGCTAATACCAATACTCCTCAAACTGTTCCATAAAATAGAAACAGAAGTAACATTGCCAAATTCACTATATGAGGTCACAATCACCCTGATATTTAAACCACACAAAGACCCAACAAAGAAAGGGAATTTCAGATGAATTTGCCTTATTAACACAGATGCAAAAATACTCAATAAAATACTCACAAACTGAATCTAAGAACACATAAAAATATCATCCTGAGGATGCAGAAATGGTTCAATAAAAATTCATCAGGGTAATCCACCATATAAACAAACTGAAAGAAAAAAGCACATGATCATCTCATTAAATGCTGAAGATGCCTGTGACAAAATACAAGACCCCTTCATATTAAAAGTCTTGGAGAAATCAGGGATACAAGGCACATAACTAAACACAATAAAGGCAGTATACAGCAAGCCAATAGCCAACATCAAATTAAATGGAAAAAAAAATAAATCAATATTATTAAATTCATGGCTAAGACAAGGCTGCCCATGATCTCTGCACCCGTTCAATATAGTACTTGAAGTTCTAGCTAGAGCAATAAGAGAACTAAAGGAGATCAAGGGGATACAAACTTGAAAGGAAGAAGTCAGAGTGTCGGTATTCACATATGATATGATAGTATATAAACAACAGCTTTCACGATAGCCACAAATAATATGTAGTACCTTTGTGTAAGTCTAAGAAGCAAGTGAGAAACTTTCATAACAAGAATTTCAAGTCTTTGAAAAAAACAATTGAAGAAGATATCATAAAATAGAAAGATCTCCCATGCTCATGGGTCAGTAGGATTAACATAGTAAAAATGGTCACCTTACCAAAAGTATCTACAGATTCAATGCAATTCCCATAGAAATTCCAACACAATTCTTTAGAGACCTTGAAAGAGAAATGCTAAACGTCATATGGGGAAAAAACAAAAAAAAACAAAAAAAAAAACAAAACCTCTTTTAGGACTTCAAAAAAAACATTAGATGTTGTGCCTCCCAAATAAAGGCTGAGATATGCTCTTCTGCCTTTTGGCAACCCTCTTTCAAAGCTAAGGTTTATCTCTAGTGAAACAATACAGGGCTAGAGTAAAGGCACTTGCTTTTTACAGTAAGAGACGGCCTGCACTCTATTCTGGAGACTCAGGGTGTAGAGAAGAGAGAGCTTACTCCAGAAAGTTGTCATCTGATCCCCACACACGCGCAAAGGACCATGTGTGCAACTGTGTAGCCCCCAAAGACAAACAAAATGAAAGTTAATAAAATAAAAACAATCCAGACAGCCTACTATGTGACTAAGCACATGCATGAAGAGAGGCCAGGTGTGGGACATGACCAGAGCTGATGCTGGCACAGTTCTATCGCAGGGCAACTTTCACAATAGTTGGTTGGTCTGCAAGACTGAAGACCTGCAAAACAGGGTGTGGGACTCCTGGAATGATGAGAGAAGAAGGGGACGTGAGTTATGGTGAAGGTGAGATGTCAGATGGGAACAACTGTATCTTCTGTGATATCCAACCAGTGGGGAAGAAGGACAAGGGCTTTGTGCTTGGGGCTACGAAATGAATGATTACACCCAGTGGGTCACCTGCACTTTGTCTGTGGAGGCACATGACTTTTCAAGGACACTAACTGAGTCTCCAGGGCTCACTGCTAGGAAGCAGGAGGCCTGAGACCCCACAGTCCCTAACCTGCCTCAGGCCCTTTCAAAGCTGAAGGTACAAAGTAAGAACAACTGAGGAATTTTTCTCCCAGCCTTGCCATGTTCTGTTCAGAACCGCATTCCCAATCATTGCCCTAAACCTCAAGTTACTGGGAATAACAACAGCTGTGTACACAAGCAGGCACAACATCTCACAGAACCTGGTTTGTCTCTTCCAGCTTCGGGAACAGTGAGAACTTCAAACCAACATATAGGGCCAGAACTGAGAATGAGCAACTAGACCAAACCTTGACTGGAACTGCTTGATTACTTGTCCTGCTCCAACTCATCCTCTTCTGAAACCTAAAACATGTCAGTACTCTAAAGATGGACTTAGGCCTCACTATCTGTTTCTCTTCCCAATTCGCCACATTGACTGCAGCCCTCTCCTCTGCTTTTCTCCAGTACTCACCTCTTTCACGGTAGACATTTTTAGTCCTTCCTTAGTAGACTAGTAGGTGGCCAAACCCATTACACTGTTCTAGAGAAGAGACAGAGGCTTCCTTACCAAGCCCTGTCCAGCCTGCACCTCACTGACTCCTCTGCCCACAAACTCTTGGTTCTGCCTTAGTTCTTTCATTGTTGTCACGGCAAACACCCTGACATGCAGAAGGGAGAGCTCATTTTAGCTCACAGTTCGAGACACAGTCTCTCCTGGTGGGAAAATCTAGTAGAAGCAGTTGGGCATTTCATCCGTGGCCCAGACACAGACAGCAGTGCATGAATGCATGCCCAACCCCCTCACAAGCATGCGCAGAGGCCTTTTCCCCAGGTGGTTCTCATTTGTCAAGCTGCCATCATGAACCAGCCTGATGGCTCAACCAAGGTCTGAGCTTGGCTTGGCAGAACTTTAAGGAACGTGCCCTTCCTTCTTCAGGATACATAATAAAACTGCTTCCTACCTACCAACCCTTGTCTCCTGAACATTGGTTATTCTTCCGCTATGATGGCACGTGCGTATAGATTGAAACCGCACATAAATCATAATGGTCACCAGCAGCTGTTGCTCTGTGCTGCTTATGTATACAATTTCCACACTATTGGCTTCACCAGCAGAGAAGTGTGGCGACCTCAAGCAACAAAAACTTCTTGTTGATGCTCCGTCTTCCTCAAACTGCCCACCAAGCTGCGAGTTCTCTCACTGCTCTCCTCTAGAACCTATGTTCTCCAATGCACAGACTTTATGCTTTTCTTTGTCCTGTTGCTGTCTTGCCACGCTGGTGGTCATTTTCCCAGGACCTGGTCCTTTGCTAGCTAGTATCTAAATGGTTCAACCAGTTCCATTACTCTGAGAAACTTTATCCCTGGAATTTTTGGTTTTGCATACTTAAAATACTTGAAATTTCGGATGCTCTGATTATTTACTAATTCATTATTGTTTTGTGTATAGAATGTGTATGTGTGTGGGGTTGGGTGGGGTGTAGATGTGGGTGTGTGCATGAGATGTTGTTCTTGGGAAGGTCCAAGGACTACCTGTGAACTTGATTTTCAGTTCCCTCCACTATGCCGACTGTGGTTTACAGGTGTCAGTCTTGGTGGAAAGTGCCCTAATTTGCTGAGCCATCGTGATCGTCTGGCTTCACATTTTTACAATAAATGTGCAGAAATATATGATATAACATATTATTTTATGTAAAATCCATTTTGGCTTGAATTAAGAGCTGAAATGGGGGCAGAAGAGATGGCTCAGTGGTTCAAGGCTCTGGCACTCCATGTTCCTGTGAAGGAACTTGGTTTGATTCCCAGCACTCACGTGCTGACTGACAACATGTGCCACTGATTTCCAGGGCTCTCAAACCCTCTTCCGGCCTGCACTGTTATACACATGGTGCAGATACATGGAGACAGAACACTCATAGACACAAAAATAAACATATATTTTAAATACCTAAGGTCCATATTGCCAAACCAAATAAATTAAAAGGTTTTCATTTAGAAGGACAACAAAAATCTAGGCTAAAATATGATTTAAGCTTTGTCTTCTGATTTCTCTTCATTTCCTCATTTTAAAAATGATTATCAATGCGACATTTAGGGTGATCATAAATATTAAAATGTTTATAAATCATTTAGTATACAGCTTAGAATATAATCATTAGCCATAACTAGAACATACCTCTGTTATTAGCAGAATTCTAGCAATCATAGAAGCCAAAGTGAATATTGAAGAGTATGTTTTTATACTTAAGAAAATCAATAACTCCTTTTTTCTTTTTCAGTAAAAACAAACTTACTTGTTACATGAGGAATAACAGTAAATTCAAAATCTGCTTTGTTTCCGACGTCAATATACTCCACAAGACTGAGAGATAGAAAATTTTTATCATATGCTTGAAACCAGTAATTACATGGTCTTAAATGTATGTTCCAATTTCGTCCTCCTTTTAATCCAAAGTTGTATAAGAACCAAGTGTTTGGGGCAAATCTCAAGGTTGATTTTACAGTATGAGGCATAGTAGCTATGGATAAAGCATTCCAGCTATCTATAATTTCTGTGATCAGGAAGCTGCTGTGGCCAGGCTTCACCACAGTCTTTTCAACATCTGTAGATTTAAATACTTGTCTGGGGTCTGGAGATAAAACAGAGATTTGGTATAAAGGAAAACGTTTAATATTCACTAAGCAAGTGTGGCAATGTTTCATCTCAGTTTTTAAAACTATGATCATAATCTCAGAACACATTTTCCAATCTTCATACAGTATTTAAAGAAAGCTCGTTAAGAATGTCACACAAAACTATACTTTAATGTTTCTAGTTGTCCTATGAAATTCTCAGCAGAATGGCTGGAGAGATGGCTCAGTGGTTAAGAGCATTTGCTGCTCTTTTAGAGGACCCTGGTCTGTGCCCAAAAACCTACCTGGTGGTTCACAACCCTTTGCAGCTTTAGTTTCAGGGCCCTCAACAGCCTCCTCTGACTTGTGCAGGTACTGCACGCACAGTACACAGACATACGTGCAAGCAAAACATGCGTACACGTTAGCTACAAGACATAAATCTAAAAAAATTCAGCATGAAAAAAAAAAACAGAAGAATCTTCCTTCTCCTCCTTCCCCCCCCCCTTTCTTTACCTGTCTTTCTCTTCCTTTCTTTCGTTTTTTTTTTCTTTGTTCTTTATCATTAATGAATACTTACACTTCAAATTAAAAAAAATAATTATATTTTCATGTGTGTTATCGTTTTGGTTGCATGGATGTAAGTGCAGTACATACATGAGGGTGCTGGCAGAGACAGAAGAGGATGTCAGATCCACAGGAACTGGAGTTGCAGATAACCACAAGCCCCTATGTTAGCGCTGGGAATCAAACCTGAGTCCTCTGTTACTGCAACAAAGGCTTTTAAATACTAAGCTACCTTTCTAGTCCTGTATTTCAAATTAAAATCATAGCATCAAGCATGTACCATCAAAGGAAAAGATGGAGGATGAGGAAAAGAAGGAGGAGGAGGAGATGGGAATACAATCCTGAGACTTACCTTAGGTATGTGGTAAGAAAAATATGAGACCCAGGAGTAGAGAGGGAGAAAATTTGAGAGTTTGATCTTTGTTACAATTCAGTTTAAAATCGTAAAGTTAATTTTATCAATATCCCAATTTTAGTTGCAAAAGTTACATGGATGGGCAAAAGATGAGAAAGATTAATATACTGTTGAAAATAAATTTATATAATTGATACTACCATTTACAGAACTTTCTATATAGCTGCAGTCATTAAAATTGAGTGATTTTTGGGAAAAGACCAAACCTTAAGGAAATTGAACAGAAAATGTGGAAATAAACTCACAAAAATACTATCAGTAATCTCTCAGAAAGAAGCAAAGGAAGTTGAAGAGAGAAAGTATAGTATTTTCCACACGATTCTGGAAGACTGGAGCATGCATAGGCAAAGAAATGACTTAGACAAAGAACTCACAAGTTCATAAAATTTAGTCAAAATGGATTATAACTCTAGATATGAATGGCCACAGTTAGAACTTCTTGAAGATAACTCTAGACAGCTTTATTTTGATAATAAGGTTAATATGTACAGCTAACAACAGGGTCTATAAACAAGATACTCAATTTCATTGGAATTAAGTTTCTGTTTCATTACATTAATAACTGAATAAACAGTCAAGCCATAGACTGAGACAAATATTTGCAATATACATACCTGATGATATACTCATATCTCAGACATTCAAAGAATTCTTTAAAAGGTTTAAAAATTATTATTTTACTTCTGTGTCTGTGTGTCTTTCCATGTATATGGACATACATGTGCGTATAGGTGTCCACATGGGATAGAAGAGGCATTAGTCACGTTGGATCTTGAACTACAGGCAGTTGTGAGACAACTGACATGGGGGCCAGGATCTGAACTTTGGTCCTCATGATTGAACAGTAAGTGCTCTTTGCTGCTGAGCCATCTCTCCAGCACCATCAAACAGATGAAGAATTCTCGAGACTCATAAGGAAGTCTGTCCTCTGCAAACCCACAGCCTAGGTCCATCCTGCGGCATGCAAACCTTCTTTCTTCATGAGCCACCGTTCCTGGGTGTTTCCTTGCTTCCTTGCTTCTTCCCTTTGCCATCACTTCCCACAATTTGCTGTCATGTGCTAACCTATAAGCCTACAGCCAGTCTTGTGGCATCTAGATCCTCCTTATTCTAGTTGCTTCATCCTCTTGCCTTACCTTTTCCCAATTTGCAACCATCTGTGAAACCACGGGCCTAGTTCCAGACATTGGCCCATGAACTCTCTTTGTTCCTGAAACGCTTTTGCTGGGGAAGCCGCTTCTTTCCTCTCTGTCCCTGCTCCTCCTTCCAATACTTCCCCCCAACCCTGTAGCCATCTTCACACCCACAGGCTTAGCTCTAGTTCTGTGGCCTTGGAATCTTTTTCTTTGACAGCCATCTTAGATTAATAAGACACTTCTTTTCTTTCCCCTTCTTTTCTCTGCTAGCTACCATCTCTGCACCATAGGCCTGCTCCCAGACCCATATTTGAGAGCCATCTTTCCTTGTCCAATTATATATCTCTTCTATCAGCTTTACCTAGCTTAAATCAGGTCACACATCTCCTCAACTGGCCTAATCTAAAGAAGGTGAGATTATCATGTCAGACACACAACCAAAGGAAAAAAAAATCCACATGCTTAGTCAAATTGCAAATCAAAACATCTTGAAGGGCCAAGACAACACATCTTCTAACAAATCCAGTAGGCCCATAGAAGTTTTTCTTACAGAGAACTACATAGATAAATGTCAGGACACAGAATTTGTAAGAACAGTCATAAACTTTACCAAACAATTCAAGGAATTTAAAGAAAACAGGAACAAACACTTCATTGAACTCCAAGAAAATAACAATAAATGCTTGAGTGATCCAAGAAAATACAAATGCACAGCTTGACGAAATGATTAAGATAATTCAGTATTTGAAAAGAAAATTCAAGAATGAGACAGAAACATTGAAGAGAACACACATTAAAATGAACACGGAATTGAAAAACTGAATATCCAACCAGAAAACTCAGGGAAAAGCCTTAGAAGCAGAATGAATCAAGCAAAAGATAGAATGTTGGGACACAAAGATGAAATAGATCTAGGTGAAAGATGAAAGAATACAAAAAAAAAAAAATTTAAAGCACAGGAGAGAAACTTGCAGGAAATTCGGGACACATTTGATCAAAATACCAAATTTTAGAAAATTATAGACACAAATGAGAGGGAAGAATGCCAGGTCAATGGAACAAACCAGAACTTTAACAGTATCATAGAATAAAGAATCTTCCCTACACCCACAGAGATATATGAAGTACACAGAACTCCAGCTATACCGGATCAGAAATGAAATACCTGATAGCATATCATGGTTAAAATACTAAATGCACAGAACAAAGAAAATAATGAAAGCTGCAAGAGAGAAAAAAAAAAGAAAGTCACATGTAAAGGAAAGCCAATCAGAATAATAATTGTTCATTTCTCAAAGGAAAGCATAAACCCCACAAGATTCTGCAGTAATACACTCCAAATTCTCAAAGATCTTGAATGCCAACCTAGACCTTTTTACCCAGTAAAACTATCTTCCATAGTTGAAGGAGAAAGAAAAGTTTTCCATGATATAAATAGCCAAAAAAATATTCATATCCAACAACAAAATACTAAACAAAATGCTGGAAGCAATACTTCAAACCACTCCATTTATAAGCATACAAATGGAGATAAAACTTAATGCAATACAAACCACATAGAAACCATCAAAAACCAAAATGACCAAAATCTACATCTCTTTGGCCACAATTCTGCAGTCAACAAAATCCAAGTATCTGTTATCTACAAGAACTCGTCTTTGATTTAAATATAGGTACCACTTTAAAGTGAAAGGATGCAAAAAATATGTATATATTTCAAGCAAATGGGATAAGTAAGCAAGAGAAGTTGCCATCCTAATATTTGACAAAATTAGACTTCAATCTAAAGCAAATCAGAAGAGACAAATATTCTAACCAAGATCAATTGATCATGAAAATACTGCAATACTAAACATGTACACCAAACTCTGGTATACTCAGTTTCATTAAGAGCATTCAAATGGAATCAGAGACACAGATGAACACAAAATTAATAATTGTATGCTATTTCAATGCACAACTTTCTCTAATAAGGAAAGTCTTCTAATCGAAAAAGAGAAACCTTGGAATTAAATGAAACCTTAAATAAAATGTACATAACAGATATCTATAGAATATTCCACCCAAATGACAACGATTTTACATACTTCCTAGCAATACACGGAAGCTTCTTTGAAGTAGATCACATGCTCTGACACAAAACAAACCTTAACAAATACAAAAAAAATATGATAATTCCATGTATCCTATCAAACCATTTACAATAAAGCTGTAAATCATCAGGAAATAAGGCTCCAGTAAATGTATAAATTCATGGAGATTAAACAGCAGAATGGTTTAAAGAAAAAAATCAGAAAAAAAATGAAAATACTTCTGGAACTAAATAAAAATGAATACAAAGTTCTCTGCAACTTGGGCTGCAGAGATGGTTCATCAAAAGAGCACTGGATGTTCTTCCAGAGAAGCTGGGCTTGATTCTTAGAACATACATGGCAATTCACAACTGTTTGTGACTCTACTACCAGGGGATTCAATGACTTATTCTGGTCTTACAGGTTTCAAACATGAACGTAGTGTCCAGGCATATGTGCAGGCAAAACATCCACAAACATAAACTTCAACAATGAATTAATAAAAACCCCACCAAACTCTGGGATAGATTAAAAGCCATTCTAAAGGGGAAGTTTGTAGCCCTAAGTGCATAGATTAAAAAATAAATGTTTCCACTGAAATCAGGGACAAGGCAAGGCTTCCCACTCTCCATATCTCTTCAACATAGTAATTGAAGTCCTAGCTAAAGCAATAAGACAACTAAAAGAGATCAAGGGGATACAAATCAGAAAGGAAGAGGTCAAAGTGTCATTATTTGCAGATGACATGATTGTATATATGAGTGACCCCAAAAATTCAACCAGAGAATTCAACTCCTTCAGCTGATAAACACCTTCAGCAAAGTGGC